ATCTGCGCCCACAAGCTTATTACCCAAAAGATGAGTAACCGAATGAACAAACATTTGTAAAAATCGATACCAGACAAGCCGTAGTCGATGCGATTCTTGGACTTGACACCCGTACATTCGCGCAGTTAGGAGTTTTCGAGTCACCAGAGGTCGATGAGGCCGAGGCTAATCATCCAGTCGAAAAGATCAGCACGACCAGCGTCGTAAAAAGCGGGTACAGGTGTTGCTTGGTCCAGTGATGGGTCCATCGTCATTTAGAGATCACTTATGATAAACTGGACTGCAGAGTCGTTAAAAGATAATGGTAAACTTAAATAGAAGATGTCTCGATCTTCGGATCGAACTGGTCCATAGACCACATGAAAATTGATCCAAATTGGACCTGAATTGGCAGCAACCACCAAATAACGATTGCCTGATACCGCAGTATTGACAACAAGCGCAGAATAGTCCCGAAGGTCTTGAAAAGGGTGTGCTTCATTAAAAATCATAGCAACATCATTGCGGAGCCAAAGTCGTTCGAAGTGGAATGCGATGTAAACGACGATGCATGGGCATCCTCGGCGTGCAGGAAATAGTTGTTATCCTAAAGCAACTGTTGACTTGAAAGCTTTGTTTCTTGAAAAGCGACGACTTGATTTCATGAAAGTAAATTTTGGTAAAATCGAAGGCGAGGCCTGTTCAGCTCATTCACATTAAGTAATACAGCCTTGAAGGCCCATTCTTCCTGCCGAGAAATGAAGGCGAGGAGTTGGAGATCCTTCCGCATCAGTTTAATGATTATGCAGACTGAAGTGAAGACTTTAAAAAGCAGGGCATAGTCTCGTACTGCAGAAATCCTTTCGCAAAAGAGCTGAAACCGAGCAGCCAAAGAGTGTTATCCGAAAGCAGCGGAACCGTTCGATTGACGAGAAAGTCGAGGGTCAGTATCCGTTAGGACGAAAAGCTTCATTGGGTCATGATAGACCGTCGGTGCCATAATTTGAAGCACCTAATCCCAGCTTGAGAGAAAAAATGAGACTTCTTGTCTTGAGCCAAATTTGGAGCCTTATGTACTTAAACTTCTTTGAGCATGGTCTTTGCCTTGTCCGTCGCATAAAGAAACCTTAAACTTTGCGACTAACCCACACTCGTACCAGGACGAGTGTGATCCAGAAGACGACAGAAACTACGGTAATGAGCGATGGTGTTTAAGCGATATTTAGACGCCGTAGCTGGAAGCATGTGCCCCGGGTTAGCCCTAACCGTAGACAATTATATGAGGGAAGTACGGGATCTGAGGTATTTTAGAAAAGAGTCCACGCATTTGGTGAGATCAAGTCGTGTCATACTCTCAACTAATAGACAATAGTGTATGGGGCTACGATGGAGGTGGAGGCCTTCGTATCGGCAGCAACTTGACCACACTCCATACAATTCTCGTCGCCTTCCTCGTGACTAAATTCGCGATCGTACTGCCATTGAACGACGTCTGGGTCAGCATTCTCAAACCATAGCTAAGTGTAGTAATATGGCTTGACGAGGCCAGTCGCGTGAGCTGTACTATCCGCAGCGTTGCAGTCATACCTGATAAACTTGGATTAAACCAGATCAGCGCCAGAACGACCGGAAAGTGCCTGACGATTGGTACCCGCTTTTGCCCATAGCGTCGCACCACCAATAATCTTGAAGGCATTAATTATCAACACAAAAACGCCTCCAAGTTGAAGTCGAAGGGGTCGAAAACAGATCTGTCGACAGCATCACCCATAGTCGACGCATCGTCTTCATCCGACATGGCGACGTCAACATCAGGAAAGGAGTCGTGACCCGAAGACGCAATTGGTCAGCCCGAAGAATTAGGTTTTAAACCTAGTGAAGAATCAAGCGGAGACTCCGCTAATACAGTAGGTGGCATGCGACAAATTAATCTTCCGAAGAGACGCTACATATCCCTTAGGATCAGATAGGATGGGTGCATCGGATGGTGAGACCAGACCAGAAGGTGAAGACGTCGCAGATCCAGCCGCCTTGCGCGCGGCATCTGCTTCTTGACGTAGACGAGTTGACGGAGGCGTTACACGGTTGTAACGATCCACTTTATGGTTGACAAAAAACGCACGAAATTTGACCATACCGTCGTATGGCGATGAAAATTTAATCTTACGAAAAGGATTGTCTTGAGAATAAATTAAGACAAAAGGCGCCTGATCTTGCCCAAAATTAACGGTACATTCCAGCGGAAGAAGACCGTTTTGCACGAATGTGGGTAGGACACACGTCGGACGTGCACCATGTTCCGCGAATCAATCAAAAATCATGCGGTCCGTGACTTCGTTGGGCAGACGGATCAGATCAACGTAGTAACGGGAACCGTACTTTGAAAAACATGCGACTTGGATTTGATATCCAAATGCATCGAGCTTGACCAAACTGATTTTAGAAGCAGTGTTGTACGCCGTGCATGTAAAACGGATCCCCGCATAAGGGATCAGCTTATAATCTCGAAAAAGACGAGCCTGACGGGCGTCCTTCCACAACTGTATTTGGTCGTCTTTAGCAAGCTCATCGATCACCTCGGCTAGGTGCTTGCGCCTGATCGCATGAGGGCAAGGAATCCACATGCGATGCAGCCCCGCCGCATTAGCTGGCGTAGAAGCAAGTTTTGATGCATTAAGACGCAAGGCGTCACCCTTACTAAGAGGTAGTTTGTATTTACTAGCCTCAAGCAAAGATTTTTCCGGTATCAGACGGGAAACTCTGTGCGTCGAGGTTTAGGGCGGGTTCACTATTAGTGCAACCAATTCGCAACTAAAGTCGTCTACGCGGATGACTGTCTGCAGTTAGAGGGGCAAGCTTTAACGCTGGGGCTTCGCCCCACGCAAAGCAACCAGAGTATCTACCGACAGCTATGAAGCGCTACGTGTACTTCAATGCAAGGCGCAACGCAACTGCAGCCCTCTAGCTTAGAATGACGCAAGTTGGGAACCCCTTCAACGGAAAATCTTACGGTCTCTCCACCATCCGCAATAAGCAGTAAGTATCAGACAGCAACAAGAAAGCAGAAAAAAACGCTATATACTGAAAAGTAGAGGGAGCAAAAGCAAACAAGGGTGATCCCACTGAAGTAGACGAGTAGCTCAGAGAGCTACCGAGATCGTAGGCGACGAAGGAATGGTGGCAAGGCGAGCGCGACGAAGACTACTTTGGAAAGAAGAAACCGAGAGCGAAAGAATTGGAGTGGGAGAACAACGAACAAAAACGATCTTAAACGGTGTCGCAAGGGGTGCCATTTTCTGAACAAGTGTGCAGTAGAAGGCATATTGAAAACTGTCTTGCAGAGATTGTTGGTAATCTTAGTGTATGTTTTAAATCAATCAATCTTCGAGCAGCGAATGAATATTATCCAAAACGGGATTATATTCCTTCAATAAAATCCATCTTAGAAAACATTGGCAGGGAATAATCATGCTAGACAATCTCCCTATTGACACTGTTTGGTGTCAATATCATGCTACGGGCTACCCCGTTACATCAACCCCCCTAAACCATCAATCACCCGTTGATTGAATTAGAATTGATTGGGACAGGGTGACCACCGTTGGATAGCTCAGGGAAGGGGAGCACTTGTTGGTCAGACCGAACTCATTTGTCAATTCATCGCACAATGTCAAAGTCCATGCGGTGCGCTGCCGAAGCAGTAAGAAAAGCGTTGCACGCCTGCGTGCAGCTGAAGAGATTTCTTCTCTTGTTTCAGCAGCAGGTGACGCTTCGCCTGCTGTTGCGATTAGCAACAAGCAGTGCATGCTGTGAACATTCCACGTGGTGAGTCATTACATGCGACAGATACGTCCGCTGCGTGTGCAGTGGGTGCTGCGACTTGCAATGCGGATGAGTCTGACATAAGCTCATCTGATCCGGCGAGTCGGATGATGCATCCAACTCGAAGGCGGCGCGTCCCGCCTCCGGATCATTCGGGGCGGACACTGCAAGATCCAGCTTGACTGTCTCTTGGGAATGTTGCGGCATTATGTCCGAAACATTAGGACCGAGCGATTCTTCTACAAAACCTCGTCTTACGCAAGTCTATATTAGGATAGGACACGTGGTGATGGTAATGACGCACTTTTGCATCACCACAAGAGAAGCAACTAAAAAGATCGAGCTGTCACTGGGGTCAGTGCTCATGCTGACTACACTCAAGAGTGTAGGAGCCGAAATGTCCTGCACCACGCTTTTTAAGTGCAATCTCCTTGGATGCCGTCAATTAAAGAGTTGAATCTATTGACCGGCATGACTACCGAATGGGATCGAATTCCGTCGTTCGACGTAGGAGGATCTGTCCTCTTAATTCCAGCACGAAAGATAATCGTGCTGAGGAAGAATTCTACACCAATGTGTTCTTTAAGAATCGGTGGTACAATGGAAATTGTGGCCGCGACGGTAAGGCCTAGGTGCAGAAATGGAATGCCTTCATTCATAACATCGAGTGCATTGGCCGTGAGGCCTGGCTCGGTAAACTTGATGCAGCTCGAATCAGGTTTGAAAATGCGTATTTCATTCGGTGTACGGTACAAGTTCCACCGACTGTCAGGAGAGGCAGAGTAATACTGTCACTCGTGGGGTGGTATGTGTCCAAGTTGCCTGGACAACTTAAAAACGTGCCTCTGGGAAGGCCTCCCTCCCTAGTGTCCTCTACTGGAGGGCACTTATCTCTTCATAGATGTCCGAAAGGCTTGGCAATGTGCAATCCCTGTACTCGCGTTCGGAAAGTTCGTTTTCCGACATCCCTCATACGAACGCAGCGGGTGGGTCTCGTTGTACTGCTCGACGAGACCAGGGATATCAACAACCAGCTGGGCACGAGGCTCCCAGCTGTCCCACGCTGGTGAATAACCACGCCAGCGGACGAATTTACTCGTCCGGACGCCGTTCAAATCGCGGTGGTTCAAAACACGCTCCACTAGAAAGCGTTGTCCACCGCCTGAGTACACCAGAGGATGTGGTGGCGGCGGGAACACCTAATCCGGCTCGAGGGTCGAATCAGCTTGATGTTCAAGAGATGAACCGTGTAACAAAACAGTTGCAAGATTACCTGGCTTACGAGTGGACTCGGCGTTATGAGCTCCACGATCTTGTAAGGGATAATTACAATTCCCTAACGCACGATCGTTCGGACGATTGTACCGCTTTTGCGTTCGCGCACCCTGAGAACGAACGCTCGACTCGTTCTCTTCGTGACGAGCTGGCTGCAGCTCGTCGAGACATCGCTTAACTGCGTGAGCAGGTTGCTTCTCTAGTCGACTAGACTGGCTCGTTGAAACGGGACCACTCGAAGGTGGTATCTGCTCTCGACCGCGGTGGTGTTCTTCGTATCTCGAAACGGGCTCGTACTGATAGTACTGACGGAGACGTCCAACGTACAGCTTAGGATGCGTACGCATCTTAAAGGCCAATTCAATCGTGTATGCATTGCCCATTCGGCGCAATACACGAAATGGACCGATGTACGTGGGCAGTAATTTACTGCTGCCCACGTAGGTCACTGCGTGTTTCGGTAGATTGTTTACTGTAGACAGTAAAAATAGGTCTCCGTCATCAAATAAAAGAACACTTGCTCTTCCATGTTTGTATGCGTTTCTCTTCTGTCTGTCTGGTGCATCTGCAATAGAGTCTTGAACGAAGAGGACAAACGCTTCGCGAGTCAGTAGAAATTCCTCTGTTGAATTATCCTTGTCAACAGCAGTGCGCTTCGTGTGCACTGCTGAAAGGACGTTGTCTTCGCCAGTTAGGGCATCATCGTCCTCACTGTGGCAGTCATTGGCGATGCTGAATATGCCAGCATAGTCGTCATCGTCATCATCGATATCGATCGCGTCAACATCGCCATCCATCACGTCGACACCATTGTCGACAGGTGATGAGCAAGAACCATATCGGTTTGTGTTCGAGTGAGTCCACCCCCCCTTAAACTAGCGTCACACTCTAAGAAGGCGGGTAAACGTAGATGGCGTAGGCCATTAAAGAAGAACGGTGCATGCGAGGTCGACGCGTGTACCGAGTTGTTGATGGCGAATTTCGCTATCGGCAAGGACTTACTCTAACTCGTAAACGAGTGGACATACCCTCAAAGTATCTCTTCGAGGACGCGGATGACGCGTTCCGTCTGACCATCTGTTTTGTGATGGGTAGAAGTTTCGGGATGATCAGAAGTTGACATCGTCAAACGTGTTCCAAGTGAACGGAACACGGATTGCCGGAAATCCGCTGTGAAGCGGGGGTCCCTATCGGACACGAGTTCACGGGGTAACCCGTGAAGTCGGAAGATAGCATCGATGAAGACACGAGCACAGCCCTGGGCTGTAATTGAATCCGGTACAGCAACAAGATGTACCATCTTGCTAAAACGATCAATAAGCACACGAATACCAGTATTCTTGTGAGCGTCTTTGGAAAACCCGAAGACGAAGTCCATCGATACGGACTTCCAACACTCTGCCGGAAATGGTAGAGGCTGCAAGGGTGCATGTATTGAAGGACTAGGTTTCACCCGCTGGCAAACTTCGCAAGCGCGAATGTATTGGCGCGCAAACTCATGCTGGCGAGGCCAGTAGAAGTCGCGACTCACCGTGAGGTAAGAATTTTCCCTACCGCGATGCCCACTTGTTAAGGCATCGTGACACTCATACATAATGCGCAATCTCAAATCATTATGATCCGGAACGACGACACGAGGTGTGTCTCCGTTGACTGCTGTATAGTACAGCAGTCCATCACGGACAGAATACCGTTCGGTTGAAGAGCGGTATTGAGACAACAAGATTGTCAAAGCTTGATTACACGTATTGGATCCGTAAATCATCAACAGCAGAAAAGACTCATCATCTGTGTATGCTTTTCGCACGTCATCGAGCAGATTCGACGACGGAACACTCACTGTTAGTGTCGCGACAGTAGGATCACCCCTACTGTTGGGTTGAGCTGTCGCTCGAAATCGGGCCGACGCGAAAGAGCATCAGCGACGACATTAAGTCGTCCTGGTTTATACTCGACGGAGAAATTGTACTTCGCGAAGAAAGACAGCCACCTCGTCATTAGTTGCGAGAGGTGTGGACTGTTTACGGCCCTGCGTAACGGCTTATGGTCAGTGTAAACAATGGAGAGTCTATCTTCTAATAAATAGACTCTGAACTTCGCGAGTGCATACTTCATGGCAAGGCGTTCCTTGTCATGCACGGGATAATTTTGCTCTGCTGCTTGCAGCGGACGCGATTGATAGCAGAAGACGCGCTTAACGCTGTCTGAGTCGTACTGCATTAACGCGCAGCCGATTGCAAAATCGCTGGCGTCACAGACCACATGGAGTGGTCTGTCCTGGTCTACAATCGCCAACACAGGCGATCGTATCAAGATTTTCTTGATACCTTCTAAGGAGTGCTGCCACTCAACGCTCCATTGCCACCTCTCGGGTTTCTTTAGCGGACGAGAGAGATGAACGGTTATCTCGGCGTACTTGCGCGAGTACTTGTGCAAGTACCCCACAAATCCAAGGAACTTTTGAAATTCCTTGGAGTCGACTGGCACAGGCAAGTCGCTAATCGCCTTGATCTTTTCCGGATCAGAGCGTACGCCATTTTTACCCACGATGCAGCCAAGAGGTGGTATTTCGTTCGCTGCGAATATACACTTCTTGAGGTTTGTGAACAACTTATGCTCTCGCATTATTGTAAGAATCATTCAGATGTGGATTCTATGAGCTCCACATCCGTCTTTCCATCCATAGCCCGGCTATGAACGAAGGTATTGTCAAAGTAACTCGGTGCAAAGTCTCGCACCGGTATCAATAGACTAGTACACATCCTGTGAACGTTTCGAGGGCATTTCTCATTCCCTGTTAGATCGCTAGCCACGCCCAGTACATATTACTGAGGGTGCTCACTGCTGTATAAGGGATGTTCTGCTAACCCATTTTAGGATCTGATAGAATCCGTTCATCAGATCCATGGACGAAAAGATGGTACTCTTTTCCAAACCGTCAAAGATGACGTCCTTCCTTGGTATCGGCGTCTGAGCCGGTACCGTTGCAGCATTCAACTTGTTAAATGCATGCACTATCCGCCACCCTCCTGTTGCTTTTCGCACACAGAAGGTCGGAGAGCTATGTGGGGAAGTTGATTCCCTCACATGGCCCGCAGCTATACGATCGGCAAAGAACGTGTGATCGCAAGTACTTGTTCACGAGGCAGTGGCCGCTTCATGACACAGTACTTCGAGCCTGGTTTAAGCTCGACCTCGTGTCGAATACCTTTATCCTTCTGTAATTCGCACGGAGCAGTTTCAGGGAACACATCCTTGAATTCGACCAAATCCTTATAGAAAGGATTTGTCTTCAAAGACTTTCAAGATTACGACGTGTATCGCTCATTCCGGGTCTTCTCATCGAGGACACTCTCATCCATCGATAAGCCACTGAGAACCCGTTCGTTCTCAGCAAACACTTATGCCGACCGAATATCTGCGATGTACTCTTCCACTGTGACGAGTACACAGATCTGCTAGATCTTGACACTAAGTAGATCTTGCAAGAATCTTTCAATTATAGCGCTTTAACTTGACTACCTTCGAGGCTGACTTCGGATGTGTTAACAGATCTAGTGTATAATCGCCTACACTTGATCCATCATTCACCATAACATTCACATTCTCGGTAATTTCCTGGGAGAACACATCCGCAGGTGGCTGGGGAAATGCACCCTCAACAAAACTCTATCGGGAGTTATCACTCTCAGGAACGCTGGAACTTCTTTAAAACGTGATCCGACTGTGAGTTTACTACCATAGTCACGTCCTATTCGATCGACTATCTTTCAGTCGATCCCGCTGTTACGTGGTGTTCATCCTGAACAACATTCATTTCTCTTTTTGGATGCACCCTTCGTGGTGTGCATCAATGTTTTAGTCCACTTAATCTTTTCGAATGGTGTACCTTCGGCGCCGCCTGTGTCGCTACACAGGTGCTGGAAGCTGGTTCTACAGTGAATTGACATGGTACACTGTGATCTTGTGCAGTCACACTAACTACCGTACCACAATTGTAGCCATACCACTCTTTTGTAGTACATCCACACTCTTGTAGACGCTCCAAGACTTCATCAGATGGCCATCTGATGAACAAACGGCAGGCATCTTCGTGGATAGATGCTGACAGCTGATCCATGGCTGGTATTCTCTGAACCATTGCAGACCGAGAGTGACATCGGATTTGTCACCCAAATCAAGTACGATGAATTCATCATCATACCGATTTCCTTCTAGCGTGTATCGGATTCCCACTACACTTTTGTTCACTGTTACAGATGCGCCTGTAGCAAGGCACACCGTCATCTTCGTTGGAGGGAACTCTACCTTAACGTAGTCGAGACTGCTATCTTCTAGCGACTGGCGTTTAACAAAACTGCTCGACGCCCCACAGTCAACTAGGGCGCGAAGTGACATTTCACTTGTCAATTCGATCTTCAAGTGATGAGGAACACCTCATTACCAGGGGCAGTAACACACAGCGACTGTGAGTTGGGAGCAATCATCGTCAAGAGTCCTGCATTTTCTCTTGGCGTTGCTAGATCAGCAGGGTGCTCTTCTCCTACTGACGCTGACCGTTTTTGGCAGTCCGACTTGTTGTCGCGGCTTAGCGACATGGTCGGGCCGACGCCTTGGACCTATCCTTGGCCAACGGCGGTCATCAAGTCCTGTCTTTGAACGTGATGCGGTGCTTGGGACACTACACTAATTCGCGTAGTGTCCAATCTGATGATAGATATGGCATCTTGAAGCTCGTTTGTGAATCAGAGAGAGAGAGTTCTCGCTCCCGATATAACAGAGGTCCATTGTCTTGGGGCCTCCTGTTTCCTGTCGTCTCGTCGGACGTTTTTTGACGAGTTAGCCTGAGACTGTCTCAGGATGAAGTCCTCTTGTTTCGCATACGTAATTGCCTTTTCCAGCGTATAGAAGTCATCTCTAAACATGTAGGTCTCCACCGGTCCATCTACAATTCCTTAGGGGAACACGTTGATAAGCGTGTGCTCATCAACAGGACCTTCCGTGATGCTACTTGCAAGGTAGCAGAGGTGTTGTACGTAAGCGTGCACATCACGCTTACCTTGATTTAGCCTTGGAAGTGCAGAGCGTGCTCTAAACTCGGCTCTTGGCGGCTCAAACGTTTCTTTGCGTCAAGACTTAAAGATCTCTAATGACTCAAACACATTTATGTCGTGAAGCTTGAGCCCTAAGACCCAAGTCTTTGCTTGTTCTGTCAGATTTGAAAGGGCAAAGGTAACTTGCATATCGTCACTCCTAAATTGACGGGCCCCGATGACGTCGTTTGACTCGACGAAACACCTTTAGAGATAATATTCATCGGTTTCCTTGTCCCTTGAGATATATACCATCAAGATTTCGGGTCGATGCGTGTGCGTTGGCCCGCCCATCCACTGATGAGAGCCTTGATCGTGAATCGAGGCTATCTTCTGTCTTTCGGCAGCAAGTCCCCCTTCTAGGAACTTGTGATAGCGGCATATAGTGGTCCCTGTTCAAAGACTCCAACATGCCATAAGTGAGGGGCTCGCCTATGAGCGCACTCATGCGGCCAGCGACATCCCATCCAGGGTCATTTAGATGGAGGTAGCCTTCACGTGTAACGTGAAGCTGTCTTCTTCTACGTACAACTTGTAAAATTTAATTAGGAACTTGGTAATCGTTCGACTTACTACGAAGTGCTCTCAGATGTAACTAAGCACCCTTTGCGTAGGTGCCACGAAACTTCACGGACACTCGTAGGTGCAGAGGACAATAAATCTACTAAAACTACTGTTTTAAGTAAAAGAAAAGAAGAGAACTGTATCCAATATAGTAAAGCCAACAATTTAAGGTAATTTTTATTCAAAGATTATTTATCTACAACTTCTTGTGACGACAACTTGCTCACCACCTAATCGCATCTAGCTGCGATTGGTGGTAATCTTGGTTGATATGTCTTTTATCTATCAATCTCCGAGCAGCCCAATAATATTATACCAAGGAATAACATCTCTTTAATTATACCTATCTAGGGTAATATTGACAGGAGATGTCAAGCTAGACAATCTTCCTATTGACACCAAACGGTGTCAGTATCATGTAACCGGTTACCCCGTGACATTTTAAGTCCCTGATTAATTAGAAAAGGAATAAAAACGAACGCTTTCCACCTTTAGCAGGTAAGGTCGAATACTCATCGCCCTATTCATTATCCCCTGGTCAGCAGATCTCTGTGACGCTGACCCGGCGTGACGTGATGATTCCCATTAGTGTACATATCGCACGGCTATCAGATAAGGCGGTGGCATACGATCTTGTTTGTCGCGACTGCCGCTGAGTTCGTCGTATCGAGATGTCCGCGGCGCTCTATCCGCCGGACGTGCTGAGCGTTTCTGTTTATGGCTGGTAAAACTAGACGCTCGGCTATAGTTGAAACTGGGCAACCTACAAACAGGAGGTCATGCAGCTTATCAGGCGCTAGTGCTTTGCTACCGCCACTGCTCATGAGGCGTACGAGAAGAGCAACGTTTGATCGCACAGAAAAGCCACAACGATAATAGCGACTGTTCCTGCCTTGCAAAATGGCTCCTTTAATTTCCTATCAGTTGGCGACTCGATTGCCGGACGAGACGCATGCGTTGGTGCATCAGAATGTATGTGTTGCATGTTGCCAAGACGCTCAACTTTGTCGAGTACTTGAACTTCAAGGAAGTGCTGCAGCAGATGGATCTTACGTTTGGCTGGTTTGAGCAAGTGTGCGGATGGGGAACAACCTGTACTGTTTTTTCTGCCAGAGAGCAATTAATGGGGCTGCGCGGTTTGTCTGTATAAGGGAGCGCTACTCGAAAACCTGTAGGTTGTGGCGGTGCATGAACTCACGACCGTACACTTAATTTGACCGAAAAACGTTAAGAGCTAGCTTAATTTCTAGATAAAGCTGGAGTATAAACTTTCTCTAGGATGGATACGCAGGCATACTGTGATAAAAAACCACATCACTTTTGCTCGCTGTTACGTGGGAACTCGCCCGATAATGTCATGGATACACTTGATGACGCGTCTTCATTTAAGAGTTTATGCTTTCGTGGTGCTTTACACGAGCTCAGAGGTAGAAAGCAAATGAGGATTAAATGTATTTGTTCTTATTTGATGTCACCTTCGCTGTACGTAACCTTCAATCTATTCTGCGTTGGTTTCTACGATGTATCATGCCTATTTTTAATTGTCGAGTCATTTCACCATCCGTTGTATCCTGTCCCATCAACATTTTCGCCCTGTCATGTCAGTATTCGTACTGTCTTAACATATTGGCTTCCGGTGAATTGTCTGCAAACAATCGAGTTTGGAGTAGAAAGAAGTACTTGAGATTATCTTAAGCCTCAGCAAGAGAAGCGTGGGACAGTGTCAGAGACGGTGCGAGAAAGTTCAATTATAAGGAGTTGTAGGAAAAGGAGTAGTTTAAAATTAGCTAAATGTGAGTGTTCGAACGTACCTTTTAAAGGATAAAAGTGTCAGTTATAATCTCTTGTCGGACCAACCAAGGAATAAAATGTCTGTTGCATTCAATTTTACGGACCAACATGATATGTAAGTGTGAGCGGGGGAAGTTATCGCGAGGGGGGAGGTAAGTGCTTAACGCCTCCCATAAAAATGACATAAAACGTTCAATATAATAAAGCAAAGTTAAATAAAAAATGGTGACCAGAGTTACAATGTTATAGTCGATAATTGATGGATCAAAACTTAAAATTGTTGGCAAGACTGCGCCTCGATGATGTTTACGGTCGCCCAAAGGACCAGATAATACATGTTCAGGTCAAAGTTGTTACAGATTGACGTCAAAGACTGACACTAGGGGACGACGACGTCGATGAAGCTTTTTAAAAGATGAACTTAGTAGAGGTTGCACATTGTAAGAGAATTAATGATCCAAACTTACACCACTTGCATATTGCGCCATCAACAACTTTAAAACCTCATCCACAACGGTTCATTAATCTTCTACTCTTAAATTTAATTTCATCCAGAACCAGCAGAATCGTACCTCAGATACCACTATCACAGGTCCTCACCTTTTTTGTCCAAAAATTAATATAGATTTGCTTCAAGATCAGAGAACCTTAGCCATACTGGCCATTTGCTGGGGTTGTTGTTCTTAGTGCACATTGTAGTTTCTTGGTTGGCTCATCACACATAGTTTTAACAACTCTGAATAAGGAGACGAGTGTACACCACCAGAGATCAATGATCAAGATATCCTGGACGCAGTGTAGTTATAGAGGGAATAAACGATAGAAGATGTAGCAGATAAAAGTGCAATAGAAACATAATGGCCAAGTGCGCAAAGATTTCCACATTAGTAAGTTCCTGCACCTTGCATTATCTGTCTCAGAAAACCTCACTTTTCTGCGTCTTGGGTGCTTTGCTGCCTACAGATGACATTTGCAGTTCCACAACGCCACAAAAAGCAACCTCGATGCTTGAATTGGATTTGTATGAAAACCCCACATTTGCCACATATTTCTATCTATACACCTTTTTCTGTCTCTGTGGCTAATGATTGTAAGCTATAATTAAATGGCCAAGGGAAAATCATAAAAAAAAACTATCGGACGTCCTCTTTTATTGTATAGCGGAGTTTATTATTATCGAGGAGTAGTTGTCAGAGGAAGCACTGTAGTAAAAATGTTCTTAAATGTATGTATGAAAAAAAAGTCTTTAATTAAGAAGATACATTGCAATCCCTGCCTTCATTTTCCCTGCTGTAATTAAAATCATACGTAGCACTCAAATAACTGACAGTTACAAAGCGTTACAAGAGTCGGCAGTTGCGCTAGTCGCCATGTAATACTCATATTACACACACCGTCGTCTACTTACGCCTTCATTTACCACTTCTGCCGCTTCCGCGAGTTCTAGAAGCGCGACAAGATATTAGGCGCACTTGTATTCTACCAAATGCATGACTTTTATGTTACAAGGTCACGGGTGTTGGAATCTCTTGCAACAAGAAGAGGATAAAGAACATTATTTAATGTTAGCTAGGTTCTCAGTTCGACGACGCTACCTCAAGGCCTGTTGATATCGATGGTACGATACTACAAATTACAACAATGAGTCCATCCTCATCGCTCCACAGGATGCCATTGTGTCGTCTTTGCACATGGCGTAAAATATTAAGACGCTAAATACCACTGACACACTTTGTATCATCAACAATCCTCCTTGAAGAGACGTCTATAATCTTGGTCTTGTCCAGAAGTAGATCGAATTTCTTCATCGTAATTGGGTTTGTGAGAAAGTCCTCCATATGTGGCTTCGTTTCAGCATACTTGAATTCGATAATTTTGTCATTTACCTGATCGTGCACAGTATTGCATCTGATGTTGATGTGGTTGGTTCTACTCTAATAACCATCGTCCTTTGAACTAGCAATTTTACTCTGTTGTTTCCGTGTATAGGAATCGCATAGCTGGTATGCACTTGCATCTCCTGCAGAAAGCTCTTCGTTCATAGCATCTCCTGTACACAGAAAGAAGGAGCCATGTATTTAGCTTCAGCTGCACTCCACGACATACTCTGCTGTGCATTCGATTTGAAGATCACTGGTGCGCCGTTGATCACAACTAAACTTTAGATACCAGTCTGCGATTATACTTGTTACTCGCCCAATCTGATTCCGTGTACGCACTCAGCTGCAAGCTATCAGAAGCTCCTTCAAAACGATTACTTTGTCCTTCGACATCTTTAAATACCGTAAGACTCGAAATGCTGCATTCCAGCGTTCTTCATGTAAAAATCCGAGGTGTGGGATCAGCTGGCATACTGCATATGCAATATCTGGCCTTGTGTCTGCTTTCAAGCACAATAGACTCAACCAACAACCAAAATGGTCGATTCGTCATTCTTGGGTCAGTCTTGTCCATCATGATGATGGCTTGTCCTTCAAAGTTTGAATTTAACACATTTCAAAGGCCGAATTGATTGAATTTCTCGATCATTCTTGATGTAGCTAATTATTGGAAGATCTTTAGTCGTCGGTCAACTTGCAGATATTTGACTTCCATTTGAAATAAAATTTGCACTTCCCAGTACATTCATCTCGAATCGATGTGATAGTCGATCTGCCACATTTTCAATCTCACTTATCGATTCACCACCGACTAAAGGTCATCCAGATACAATGTAGCATGTTTACACGATTCTTTAGTACGCTTGCCAAAGACGCATGAGTCTGCCACATACGAACCAAATTCCCTTTTTCACGAAAACACATGATATTGTCCTGAACCAGGTCACCGCCGCAGGCTTAAGTCCATTTAAGATGTGTTTCTAATCACGACCTGCTTGTACAAACTATTGGGTAGTATACCTCTTTTTCCGAAACTCCGTTGAGAAATGCGGTATCGATGTCATACTGATTAAAAACATTCTCTTCTGACAACACACCACAAAAATCACTCGAATCGAATTAGGGTTCGCCACTGGATAATATGAATTCATACAATCCACGCCATAAGTCTGTCTGTAATTAAGTGCTACAAGACACTCCTCGAAACGCTCAATACCACCGGATCCATTACGTTTGATCGCGAACACCCGATTGGTCCTGATCATATTTTGTCTTGGACGTTGTGCTTTCACTATCCTGCTGTTTTTGTCTTGAAATGCCTTTAGTGCAGCTTGAATAGAATTATTCCACTCATCGCATCGAGGCGAGTTGAAAGCTTCATTATATGTCGTTGGGGTTTTTGAACGGTGCACATGCTTGCTCATATTCGATACGCAGTCGCTTCGTGCCACTTTATTGACCTTCTTAACATTGATTGTATTTTACACTTGAACGACCCATTAAACTATTGCTTAGGAGGGTCCGCTTTGGGTCGGTTTAAATGGAGCCATCGCAGTCTCCTGAAAATGCCGATTTACCATATGTGTAACGGGGCACCCTGAAGCTTGTACTGGTGACAGTACAAGCTACTTATTCCGATGACAGAATAAGGCGGTGCCTCGGAACTTCACGTACACTCGTACGTGCAGAGGAAGACGGTAAGAAGAAGCGAGTACTTGGTTAGAGTAAAAAGTAGAACTGTATTAATCATAGTTAATGTCTGCAATAAATCACTATTTATCACCATCTAACTATGTCTAAATACAAATGTGTAAATCAGCTATCTGCTCACCACTCATTGCGTGCGTCTGTCGTGGCGCGTCTTCGTTGGTTGATATAATGGCCTATATCAACCAATTAGGAACTACTCGTAAGTATTACAGAATATTTGTCCTTATGACAATATTCTGAGAATATAACTCTTATAGTTATGTTCTACTAACAATTTCTTATAAATTGTTATGCAACGATTCACCCCGTTACAACAGTAGAATATGGGTGAAGATACAAAGTCATTGTAGTGACTGATTGACTTGATGGATACACCTCCCAAATCATTTGGGACGGGGTTTGCACTTGTTGGTCCGAGTGCACTTACCAACATCTCATCGCATGGTTAACAAGCCCATGCTATGTGCGAGCAGGGCCGCCGAGAGCGCGTCCGCAAGTCTCTGTGCGGACGCCGAAGCAGAAACTACAGCAACTGATGTCTCATCGGTTGCTGAAGCGACCCAGCTTGTGTCACTTGGTGATGCAGCCGCTGGTCATGAAGACACTCGTGTCTTCACAGAGTATGAGCTCGGTGTCTCATACTCTCCCGATACGGAATACGGATCCGTATCGAAGCCGATCGAATCGAAGCCGCCTGCCAAGCGTGGCATGGACGATGCTTTGCGTCGCAGCATCGTTGGTTCATCTGATGAATCAGATGAACCATCGCCGAAGCGAAGGCGCTCGAGATCGCG